TAAATTTTGGTTCTTAATGAAAGGTCAACAGGGTGAAGACATAAAAGTGATCATGTGTCATATATCTTAATGAATATTTTACTTGTTATTAGTGTTTAAAATTTAAAAAAATAAAATAAAACTCGTCTCTACCCTGAAAGTAAGCTTTTTTTGTCATTTTATAATAGTACAGTAAAGCCCGTTAAGATGTTCTCGCCTAAAATGTTAGAATGTGTATGGAGACACATTTTAGTTCAACCACTTTGACACTTAATAACTAACTCCTATGTTAAACCATCTGACTTTGATTCTGACCACTTTGACCACAGAAATTATTAGGCTTCAAACAGGGTGAACAAAATCATGCCCTTCACACAGTCTAACATCCATACATATAGAAAAAAACCTCGAATCTTTTGCTTAATTAACTTGAAATTTCAAGATGTTCCAAGTCCAAAAATGTAAAAATTTGGGAGAGGTCATTTTTTGATCGAGCGCTACACTTTGTTATATATCCTCTGTTATATATAACAGCCAGAAAAGTAAAAATTATCGAATACATATTTATATATTACTCAGAGGAGTCTTTTAGCTTTGAAATAAAGAGTTTTTATGTTTTATCTTTGTTAGAACTGTATTTATTGAATCTTTTATTCTGAGATCACGTAATGACATCAGAATTTCTGGGTCTCTTTCGGTAACTAGTCTGCCCCTGGTTGGAGTCGGAGTTGGAGTCGATAGATTTTTACGCGACTCCACAGCCCTGGAAATGGGTAAAATCTTTCATTGAATAAACAGGATGAAATTGAGAACAATATAAAAATTTTATGTATAATTGTAATAATTTTTTTTCTATTCGAGACTATCTCTTATGTAATGAAACTGTTTTGTATTTTAAAAGTAATGTAAGATTACCAATTTTTTATAAATCAGAGAATTTAAGAACTAAGTATCACATATATAGTATTTTTAAAATTTAATATTGTTTGTATATTATTCAACTAATGTAAATATGTTTATATTAATGTATGATATGATCACATTACATTCTCATTCCTTTTGTATATTCCTAAATAGGAGAGATAGATACATTATTGATTTTCCAGCACCGTTTTTTAGTTTGATAAATGTTATGAGAAGACATTTAAAATAAGACTAGTATAGAGTAAATGCCACAGATAGCAACTTATAGTGCAAATGCAAATGCATACTGTATATAGTTCAAATACATTCACTTGAATTATCTACACTGCAGTTGATTCTTCCATTTTGTGGGATTTTTAGTTTACTGTACATAAATTTAGTTTTATATATGGCTTTTAGAAGCAAGTGACAGTATGGTATCAAACATAAAAATCTTTCCATATTGATATAAATGTGGGGTTTAGATGAATAACATTCCTAAACCGTTAAGACAATAAATTTACGAGGGTTGCGGGGTAGACGAGGAGAATGAGAGAGAGGGACGAGTAAGGGGATAAGAGAGGAAGGTGACAGTTGGTAACAGCACGAAAGTAAGAAAGGACAAAAAAGACGTTACGAATGCTGGAAGATTATTGTCATTTCTAGTTCTCTATTTCAATCACTATTTCTACATAAATAAGGTAGAACGTTTGAAAAACTGGACTGTGCAGAAGCTGTGACTTGCATTGTATTGATTTATTTATTAGCTGTTTTTTAATAATAAAGAAAGGACAAAGCCCAATTATAACTCGTCAGAGACTGCATTTCTTAACTAAATACACTCAAACAAACCTTTACATACGCAGCCGTAATTTAATAGATAAATTCAAACGTTTTCGATCATATTCAATGGTCTTTATCAAGAAAAAACTGAAAAATCGAACTTCAAACCAAAAATTTGTGTTACGATACAGGCGTAATTGGGCAACGCCGGCCAAAAAGTATCGAGCCCTAGTCCTGAAGATTTGCAGGAACGATGCAAAACTTGGGTTTTTGACGGATTGCAAAAAATGCAATGTCTTTCCAATGTCGATTTGGAGATTAGAATATCTTTTTAAAAACGTTCCAAAAATAACGCCTGTATCGTAACACAAATTTTTGGTTCGAAGTTCGATTTTTCAGTTTTTTCTTGATAAAGACCATTGAATATGGTCGAAAACGTTTGAATTTATCTATTAAATTACGGCTGCATATGTAAAGGTTTGTTTGAGTGTATTTAGTTAAGAAATGCAGTCTCTGACGAGTTATAATTGGGCAACGCCGGCCAAAAAGTATTGAGCCCTAGTCCTGAAGATTTGCAGGAACGATGCAAAACTTGGGTTTTTGACGGATTGCAAAAATGCAATGTCTTTCCAATGTCGATTTGGAGATTAGAATATCTTTTTAAAAATGTTCCAAAAATAACGCCTGTATCGTAATACAAATTTTTGGTTCGAAGTTCGATTTTTCAGTTTTTTCTTGATAAAGACCATTGAATATGGTCGAAAACGTTTGAATTTATCTATTAAATTACGGCTGCATATGTAAAGGTTTGTTTGAGTGTATTTAGAAAGGACAANTAGATAATAGTTAATATATTAACTATTTGTCTACAAATTAATGTGCAGTGTTTTTGACAATATGATTTACTTATATCAATAACACAGACAGTTCCTTTAGTAAAATTTGGGAGTTTTTGCAATACATAAACTATTATTTGACTTCATTGTATAAAAACTTAAACTTTCAAATTTTACTTGTACTGAATTTCTTATTATATTTAGCATTTAACACAAATGTTTTTAGAGATGATGGGGAAAATTTTAAAATTATTTTTATCAAGTCATTATCAGTGTTAAAAGCAAAAAAAACTGTGACCAAATACACAAATATAATTATAGTAACTTAGTTATTGAAGAATTTAAACACAGCACTATCCACAAGTCACTTGATCATTTAAATTTTCAACTAACAGACTAGAAAAATTATTCAAAATAAGATCTTTTATGTTCAATATGCAATTTTACAGCATTCCAATTATTTGTTACAAATCTCCAATTACAATAGTTTTTAATCTTCCTGATCTTAGTAAGTCATTCACTCTTCCTATTTCTTTCAATGTTTTGTTTAATTTGTAAAATATTTTCCAGATTTTAACAGTCCCTTAATTTTTTAGTAACATATTCACTGCTACTTAGTTTTTATTCAGCTTTCACTGCTTAAAAAAGATAGAAAGAAAATGCTTTATACAATTAAGAAAAATATGTATAAAAAAAAAGTCAAGTGTTTGAAATTGTCTTATTTTCAAAATGCTCTAAAACAAATTCTCATACTATAAATACAAAACTTTTTTTTGTGAAGTATCTAATCAGTAGAGCTAGGAACACCTAGGCACTAAAAGTCATGTAAATGTCATGTAATAACAAACCTTATAAGTTATAATTTATAATTTTTAGTGCTTAAATGTCCTAGCTCTACTGATCAGTAACAAATATTCTGTAAAAGAAACATTTACTGATCTAAGCTGTCTTTGCAATCTGTACTGTAGAATTTTGTAACTGAGAAATGAAACAATAAAGCATGACAATCTAAGTTATATGCACAATAATATTTAACTATTTCAAACCAGTTTTAGCTGTTCTACTAGTTTTCTTAAAATATTTTCAATTCAATGATTTTAGGCCACTCTGTAAATTGATACATATGAACTTTTATATATATATAAAACTGCCATGGTTATTTATTTATATTTCTAGCTAAATTAATCAAGAACCATTTTTATAGAATCTATGAAACAATAAGTAATAAATTTAAAATTCTACAAACTAGATTAAATTAGCAGAACCTCATTTCTTGATGCATATAATAATAATAATTAACTTCAATGCAGCTTTCTTAAAGTTATGTTCATAAATCAACTTATGAAATACTTATTTAAAATAGGATATTTTAAATAAGTATTTCTATCTGGTCTACTATAAGATGTTCTATTATTGATTTTAGTTGTAAACTTTTAGAATAATGAGAGCTTTTAAGTCAGAACATAGTGACTAATTGATTTCCTTTATTATTTAGAAATAAAAGACAAATTAAAATATGACATGACTATTTTATAAAAATCTCAAATGGTTATTTATTTCAAATTCTTTTACATAATCCAAAAATTTATATAAAAAAACTGGACTTTTACATGATTCAGATGGCATGCTCTTAGAACTGTTTGACCTATTTTTCATTTCATTAATTTAAAATGAATTAGTTTGAAACTGATGCTATTTCTTCATAAATGATTGCACTCAATTTTTACTACCAATTTTTTTTACATAAAGTTGTTTTATTTTTAAATTTTTTATGTGTAAGCCATTGTTAATTATTACATAATTATTTTTATATAAAACTATTAATGTTACTAAAATATCTTTAAAAAATTAAGTAAAAACTGCAATATATTACAATTTTATACAGTATAAGTTATTAAAACTACCAAATAGTGACATAAATGCTATGTAACTGTAACATTAAGTTGAATTAGGAAGTCCAAAAAACACAAATTAAAACACACTTACAAAACTTCATATTATTGTTAATCTTTAGGAGTTCAGGTAAATAAGCAAAAAATTTTTCTTTTCACACAAATAACTTCAACATGGAGCTGATAAAATACAATTGTTATCAGTTATGTTGTGTTAACAGGCCTTTAAATGTTAAATGTTTTGTTTTTAATCATTATTTGCTTGCAATATAGTAGTTTTAAGTTGTTAGCATTTCTTACTTCAATTATATATTAACTATTGTTAAAAGACAGCATTGCAAAAAACAGCAGGTAAACAATACAATATGAATTAATATTAATGATGATTAATCATTAAGGATATACAATTTTTCTAATTGTTTTGACATGTTCTTTTAATGTCAATCAACAAAACCAGGATTTTTATTAATTATAATCTTACTTATTTACTACCCCACTTAAATGTTATCAGTTAATTATTATTATAGTAGGCAAGTATCAATAATTACAATGGATAATACTATATATAATGATTTATNAGTGATAATATATTTCTTTAAATATTTAGGAAGAACTAATTGCTAGCATTCGAAGGAAATTAAACACTTTGCATATTGAACAAGTAGCCATAAGGGAAGAAATATCACAAAATGATATTTTAGGCCAAGATATTACTGCAAGAGTTGAAGAATTGGCTAAACAAAATGAAATAGAAAAATACAGGCTTCATGTAGAAGAACTAGACAAAATTATCAACTTATTGCTTTCTCTGTCAGGACGATTAGCACGAGCTCAGAATGCTTTAACAAATCTTTCAGACGATGTCAGCCATGAAGAAAAAGTAAGATTTTAATTAAAATTAAATATTTATGATTAATGTAAACATTGCTTATATAGGTAATAAAATTAACTTGTAAAATTAATTAATTTACAAATTGTTTTTAAATTATATTTTCAGAAAATTTTAGAAGCAAAACGTGATAAATTAAGGGAACAACATGAAGATGCATGTAGATTGAAAGAGAGCATTGATCGCAGAAGTCAGCAAGTCTCTACTTTCCTTCATCAATATCTCACAGAAGAAGAGTATGCAGACTATGATCACTTCATCAAAATGAAGTCTAAACTATTGATGGATGCTAGAGAAATTGAAGATAAAATTAAATTGGGTGAAGAACAACTATCAACTCTCTGTAACAGATTGGATTGGTTAACATGGAAACGTAATGCATCTTGAATGTCTATCAATGTTCTGTTATTATGTAATGTTACTTAATCATGTCTGCTGGTTTCAGACATAAAAGGTAGCAACAGAAATTATAAGAATCTACTTTCCATTTATTAACTTACCATGTTATATCATCTGTGCCAAAGTTAATCTGCAGAATATAGATTCTGCAACTCATATATGCCTAAATTGCCAAGTGTTAAGTGAGATAAAATTTTGTGAATATCTTACTTTATCTTTATTTGTAAAGCAAAATTCATCTTCATTGAATGATGAAAATCATTCCTTGTATAATGTATTTATCTGATGACTTGGATATGAAAGACTCGGTCTTTCATTGTTATTTTCTTTTCATTTTTTATATATACATATTCATATAAGTATACATTGTATTTCTTTTAATTTAGCATACTACTATCTATATACATTTCAGCAAAAGATAATATTTAGAAGTCATATTTTTGGTGCTCACAATTTTTTTCATTTGAAACAATTTGACTTTTGAATTGTTTCATTTTCTAAACATTTAGTGTCACACTGTAATTATAAAATGATACTGTGAATATCACAGCTTCATATTTACAAACTGTAATTTGTGTTGTTCAACTTTTATAATCAATGTTAAAAGTAAACTGGTTATTGGGAGACATGTAAGCATATTTTATGCTAGCATGTCATTATTTTTGTAGAAAACTCTGGGTTACTTGAACCCATGTATTTCTAAGGTCAACCCATTTTGTACATTATTGTGATGATATTCCCAATTTATTTCCCCCTTTCCATGCTGTCAATAACATAGGGCTGTTATTATTATTATTATTTTTTTTTATATTTTAGATACTGAAAGTGTACATATCTCATTGACAAGCATTGGATTGGTCTGTGATTTTATTTTTTTTTGCCACAGTAGTTAATAAAGTTATTTGATAAGTTATAAGTTATTTTTGTTTGAATATGATTTATAGTTCTAATTAGAAATAGCATTAAAACCAATGTTTATGAAAATTTACTGAATCAAATTGCATTTCACTTAGGAAATTTTATACAATTGAAATGGCTGCTGGCAATCAATTTTGGATCTATCATTAAAACTTCTTATATATAATTTTTTTTAATATTTTGCCAAAATATTCTTCTAAACTATTATAAGAATTAAATTTGAATGTTTACTGATTAATAAAAACTACAGTTCTTTCAACATATTTAAGTTTTCTGTTCTAAATCAATTTTTATAACAATCTAATAGACTAAAACGTGTAAATTGGGTATAATCATAATTATATAATTTATATCCCTAAGAAGAATTATTTTCGTGGAAACGAAAAAAGTAAAATGGATAGTATATAAATTTCTCCAGTTTAAATGAATTTCTAAAAATCACTATCTAAGACACATCAATATACATTAAATTCATCAGAAAAAGTGATTCTGTTTTAGTAATTCATGATTACATGATCAGTGAAATCTAGATAGAAAATATAGAATGAAATATGTAAAAGTATTTAGATAATTTCGAAGTAGAAACAATTTATATATTCAGTAATCACTTTAAAATAAGGAAAATTTTAATATTTTTCAGTACTTCAAAAATTCAAAAAATGATGTTTAAATTCTGTGTAATCAATAATTATTTTAAATGCAAAACAAATGTTAAATTGCGCAATCATGAGATAAATTCAAGTTAAAAATGTGCAATGTTTGGAAATCAATATAATTGCTTGCAAAAATGTTCGTAGAATTTCATAACAAACTCCGAAAAATTTGTCCCTTATGCATTGTAGTAATCTATCCCTCGTCCGGTTGCCACAATAGAGGTAATCAGAGGAGAAACAGGGTTCAGCATAACCGGTTCAAACACTTCATGAAAATTTCTAATGTTCCGACCAAAACTCGAAAACAGGTCCCTTGAGCGGCAGGCTGGTGTCTTTACTTCATGGCCATCTTAAAAGGATTTAATGTCGTTAACTTTTTCTTTATAAACAGGAAAAGAAAGAAACTTTTATTTTACTCTTAATTGTTTTCATAGCATCAATTTACTGCTGCAACGTCGATTGTATATCCTTTATTTCGAAGAAAACGAAGCGAATCTAGGAGTTTTAACTACTATTGGTAACACCAAAGCTTCGATATACAATGGTAATGTGAGGTTTACGTTACATACTCGAACATCAAACCCCGTTTTTCGAATGTGCAACGTAAAATCTTGCTGCCTTTGGATACTGAACTTTAACCCGAAGCAGACCTTGGAGAAGGTCGAAAGCGTTCGTTACACGATTTATTAAACGTTTTTATATTAATATTGTTTTATTAAAACTAGTCTGAAAAGAGTTTTCTTAACTCCTTCCACCCTGTGAGCACCAAGAAGGCCTGTTTTAACAAGTTTATCAAAAATTCGGCAGACCCAAAATGGAGTAACCGGATAGTGAGAGGCGAGGCGCGACATATTCGGACGGACCACCTCTGAAAAGATACCCGGAGTTTTTCGACCCGTTAAATTCAATAATAAAAAATAATTAGAAAAATTTTTAATTTTTATTTATCAAATTTCAAAAATTTATAAATAAATAAATTTTCTTTCGTATTAAATAAACCCACGTATTACATCAAAATCATCCGCTAGAGGGATTTTATATATGAATTTCGCTTGGATGTACAGATCATCATTTCGATCCTTATCGTTTCATTTTTTTTAAAAAAGATTAATTTTATAATAATTGCAACCATTATTTGTAGAGAAGTGCAGTCCAGCAAAGATTATTCCCAATATGAGTCTTAAAGATAAATTAAATGACAATGAATTAGATTTGAGTTTGAGTGAATTGACTGATGTCCCAGTTAAAGAATTGGTATGAGAATTTTTTTAATTTTCAAGAAATATTCAATTCTTATACAGAAAAATAATTCATTTTAGTTTAAATAAATTCCATGTAAATATTTACATGGAATTTATTACATGTAAATATGATAATTACATTATTCCTTTATATAATCCTTATTAATTAAATCCTGTTTGCTTTTGAAAGAAACATTATCTAATAACTCGAATTGTATTACTTGTATACTTGTAATATTCAATATAAATGGTCTATAAGCATGCACCAGGTGGCGTGCAGATTGATAATGTTGAGAACTACTGCTTTATATAATTCTGTAATTAAATATAGATATATCGCTTAAAGTTGTGATGGGACAGTATGGTAAGGTGGGCTACAGCGTAATGCTGGAACTGAATAAAGGGAAGAGAGGTAATGAAATGAAGGAATTCTAATGATAATCATAAAAGGGTAAAAATACCTTTACTTGATATCTCTAAATAAATACGGAACAATACGATGGCCTCGTAACAAGTTTTTGATATGTCCTTCTGGATGAATCAAAAACTATGATGCAAAGTTGTGTTTGTGGATATGCTGCGGCTCTGCTGTTAGTAATGCTTCTGGCATCGATTACTATTCGTGTAATGTTGTAAATTAACATCCTTGTATGATTATTATTTGAATTTCTTCATTGTGTTACCTTACCAGCTTTTCTGACTTTGCTCCAGCCAGGGCTGTTGAGATCTTGAACGGGGCTTGGGGTAGAAGGGCCCTTTCCCCAAGCAGACTCCTTTTGCTCTTTATTTTTGAAACATGTAAGATCTTTATTAATAAAGATATTACATGTTTAATAAAGAGCAGTCTTAAAGATTTTACTTTTGTTAATAGAAATAACATTAATTTAGAGGAAAAGGGACCACTATGTGCCATTTTTGCCAGTCCAGAGAAAAATCTCTAGCTCGTCTCATGGTCCTGGCTCCAGCATTACTGTGTAGCCTACCTTATCATATTGTCCTGTCACAACTTTAAGTGATACATCCTACATAATAATTAATAAAATATGGTTATTAAATAAATATTCATATCAGTTACAATTCAAAATTCTCAAATAATAAATTCTATAGAACTTAAAATGTTACAAAATAATGTATGCTCTTATATAATTGTATTATGCATATCATAGTTTTTAATTTTATACATTTTCATGAAAGATATTAAACATTTAAGCTTACACTTGCAAAATAAAGGAGCCAAATGTAAAATGAAGAAATGTATATGTAGACAACCAAACCTGAATTTTTCTAATAAACAAATGGTTTGGTTTGACAGTGGCATAAGGCAATGCAACATGTGGGTGATCTGCCAAGGAGAGATTCCTCCCAGGAGGACACTCTATGAAGAAACTGTCTCCTATTAAGATGTTAGACATGTGAAGAAAACCTAGAAAACTTTGTGACCACCTGTTGGTGAAGCATAAACCCATGGCCAATTACCAGTATTCGGGGATTTTATCTATTTGGGCACCGGTGAGCAATAAATGATAAGGCCAGATTAATTATTAGGCTAATTAATAAACTTACTAATTAATTTCATTTAATTTGGACTAAAGATAGTCAGTATAATAATGTATATTTAGTCTAAATTACATAATATCTGTGAAATTAATTAGCAAAATTTTACAATTATAGTTAATCTGGCTTTTATCCTTCCCTTCTTCAACATAGTCAAATGATACAATTTAACAGCCACAACTATAAATTTTCAAAATTTCAGTTCTTTCAAATTTTTTTAACCTCCAACTTTGTTTCTTTACATAAAAGTGACATAAAATTCAAAATCTTCAATTACTATTCACTTTATCCACAGCTGCATCTATCATATTATTACTAACATCCTACAATCCTCATAAACGACTATATTATCCCCCCTCATTATTAATTTTACAGCTAGCTAACCTTAACTTTTACCTTTCCTCTTCTTAACCACAGCTCTCCAAATTTCGAATAACATCTGCATCATTCTTACCATATTAATCTCCATACTTAACAGATAAATACATATTTGTTCCTTCATCCTTATATTTATGAAAGTGTCTTTTTTTGTAAATTATTTTTGTCTTATCCCATATTACTATTACCTTCTTATCATATGCTTCTTGTGTTAGGCTTGTGTTTATCTTACCCTTACATACATCCCTTTTATGTTTATTTAACCTCTCATTTAAGTTCCTCAAAGTAGATCCTATATACATCTCACCTCCATTGCCTCTATTATTATATGTATTCTCAACTGTTACTTATCCTCAAACAAATCTTTATTTCTTACCATGTTTTTCTTAAATACAACCTTTCCATCATATCTCCTCATGCTTTATGAACATTCATATCATCAATATTAACAACCATCCTTTTCTCTAATCATAGTTAGAAAAACCAAAGAAACCAATGAAATTGAAAATGCAGAGTTGGAGGTTAATCATTCAAAAGAACTGAACTTTGAAAATTTGTAGTTGTAGCCATTGCTTTAAGTTGTATTATTTGATTCTGCTGAAGATGAGAGAAATGCCTCCTGAAAATGTTTTGTAGATTCCTTGAATGAGGTTTTGTGTTTGTGTTTAATTACTTGTATTATACTTATTTGTTGGGGTTTTAAAAGAAAAAAACAAAACAAAATAGTCTTGTTGAAGGCATCGGAATAAAAATTTCTGATAACTATTCAGACACAATAAACTTTTTATTCTAATTTTTTTGAATAAAACATTTTTTATTCATAAATGTAAATAACTTTTATCATACATTTTAAAATATAATATTATGATAAATTATAAGCTTATGAAACTTGAAAATTTTAATAAGAGGAATTAATTAGTACATATTTTTTAATGTCTAGTTAGCTATACCAAAAGCAACTCATGTGGATTTATCACGTAATCGCATTAAATCATTACCGGTAAGTAGATTTATTTTGTCATGACAACTTAACTATAGAATGATTTATAGGAATATTAAGATCTTATTACAAATTTAAAAAAAATAAATAANTTGCATGAGCACAAGAATTTATGAAAAATTATAAAATCATTTTATTGTATATAAATCATTAATAAATATATATTTTATATCATCTAATAAGTATTAATGATATTTCAGAGTACTTGTGCTATTTGTGGAACAAGTATAGAAGGATCTCCAGTACAAATAGAAGAGCATGGTCAGATAAAAGAACTCTGTAGTACAGAATGTTTTCAAAAGTATCAGTTAAAGGAAGGAGTTGTAACTTATCCTGAAAAGCCTAGAGGGAAACAATCTAATGGCACTCCATATCAGTATGAAAGCACAGGTTATTGAATTTTATTTTTATATACACAATCATAAGTTTAAGAAATAGTGCAATTAATATAAATAGTAAATCATGAATTCCAATTTTAGCATTCCAAACAGATGTTAGATATCATCAACATGAAATAATAGCAGAATATATGATTATTTTTCATAGCAAAAAACTTATAGAGTCGACTCCCTATAACACTGTTGATAATTCCGTTTTATATGAATTCCATGTTGTACGAGTCACTTAGCTTTTACAAATACATGTGCTGGGCTGTGAATGGTTCACGTATTTGTAAAATCTAAGTGACTGTACAACATGGAATTCATGTAAAACAGAATTATCAACAGTGTTATAGGGGGTTGACTGTACAATTAAGATTCATGTTGATTCAAGTCTACAGGCAACTAATTTTATGCAGAACGTAATTCATAAAGAATTCTTTAAGGTGACAAATTAAAATGTTCTTTTCTAGAGAATTTCAAGTGTACTAAATTGGCTTTGGGATTGGAAATTCAAATTTCAACTATACTTACTCTCAGAGATATAGACAAATTAATTAAGCTCTATACATGTTAGCATTGTTATCTGTAAAAAAGAAATTAGAAAATAAAAATATACCAGTAACTTTATTGAGAACTTGAAAATATTTGAAGTTAAAAACTAATGTGAAAATGAATGAATTGTATCCAGAGTTAATGAATATGTTTGCTATATGCTTATTTCTATTTTAAAATATTGAATATGTAATAAATCAACATAATTTGCTTCAAGTTTATTACAATTTGTTTTACTATGTTTTTTTCATTGTCCCACCTAAATTAATTAATATTAAGTAATTAATCATAATTCTGTTATCTTATCTATGTATAAATTTTTCATAAATGTTCTAATATTTTTGTTTAGTCCAACTTTTCTACCTTGACACATATCATTAAATTGGATTTGAGTAAAAATGAATTGACAGAACTTCCTCATAACTTTGGAAATTTAACAAATCTTCAATATTTGGATTTGTATGGTAATAAATTGACAGCACTTCCCACTAGTTTTTGCCGGTTGAAAAATCTTCGATGGTTGGATCTGAAAAATAATCCATTAGAAGCTCCATTGAAGACAATAGCAGGTGATTGTCTTGATCAGACACAATGTCAACAATGTGCAAAAAAGGTTAGTAGTTTATTGATCAAATTTTTGTACTAAATAAGTTCTTTGTTTAAAATAAATTACTTTTTTATACAATGAAATAACAGCGATTTAAGATGGTTCATAGGCCACTAGAAAAATAGAAAATGTTGAATAAGAACATAGGATACAACTGTGCTTTTTTTCCTCCTAAGTATTGGAAGCATTCACAAAGCTTGGTATTTGAGGTCATTGTTGTTTTTTAATGTTAACTTAAGAGTAACTGAATTGTTTATTGCCCAAACCATGACAGTTTTTAGAGAGTGAAAAATGGGTCTTTTAAATATGGCTAAATGTAGAATATTTAAAAAAAATTATTTATATATTGACCTGTAAATTGGTTATATTACATTAGAAGACATATAAATTAGTTTTATTTAAACTCTTTTTTCTATTTTTGAGAGTTAAAAACAGGAGAAATCAAGGTCTGTCCTAGACAAATCAGGAAGTATGGTCATCCTATAATACAATATTAATATTACAGCCATTTTCAAAAATTTCATGTGTTTGTGGATGATAAAATGTTAAATTATCCTAACAAGAACATGAAAAATTTGAATCAAACCTATGTTATTGATTAATTATTCCGACTATCTATTTAATGTCAACAAACTTGAAATCAATATAAATAAAACCAAATATGTTTTGTTTTTAAACAAAAGAATTCTATTCATAATTAATGATTTGAATTTATATTTTAAAGGCTTGTTTTTTACAGAAACATATGATTTGCAAAAACTCACAAACCGGGAAAAGAGCTCAGGCTTGTTTTTTATTAACATTATCATTAAACATCAACCAATTACATAAAATATCTTAATAAGTTTTGATCATAAGTTAATATAGAATAATTTATATAAATTACTTAAATACAAATTTTATTATATTTAATGGAGTTATAAATAAAATAAAGCATTACACTAAAGCTGATACTTTGATATATCTTTACGCAATTTGTATGAAATGTAAAATTAGATATAAGATTTGGGATAATGATTTAACATTTATTATCTATAGATTTTAGATATTGATGAATCATTTTATTTATATGTATGTATATAAATAAAACAGATGAACACTGAAGGTTAATAATTATTATTTATATAGCCAATTAATCTTCATTTGTAAACATTTTTTTATTAAATAAAAGTGTTTTAAGTGTCATTATTTGACCTACATTTTTACATATGGAACAGAAATTTTGTTACCCCTTGATATCAGCTGGCTATTAGACATATACATAATGTGAAATTTTAAAATAATTTGTTATCTGAAATAAAAATTAAACTAGCATTAAAGATTTAAAAAATATTCTCACTAATGGATATAAAATATCTGATAACTTTATAAAATGTAGTGATAGGATTTATAATTTCAAAAATTTGTTACTATTATTATGATTATTTTTTTCATTGTTTAAGATAGCTTAAAAAATACATTATTTTATGACTGTCATATTAGTAATTATTGATTTGCTATGTAATTTAGTTTTTATGTAATAATCTAAATGAATTATTGCCATGTTTCTTTTGATAATATACATATTAAATTATTTTAATTACTAATAAAATGTAATGAATAATAATCTCAAGATGATTGCTTATTTCTTTAAATCTGAAATTAATGAGGAGTCATTTTTCTTTCATTGATAATATAAAATTACAATTTATTGTTAGAAATTATTAGAAAATGTAAAAAAGTTTATAATGCAATATCAATACAACTCTGTTACTAGTTTTTAAAATCTAAACAGGTTAGTAAGATTTAGAAGTAAATTTAAACTAACATTTTTCAAATTATATAAACTATTATACATATTATTAATTTTTAAATTTTTAAATCAAAAACAAAATTATTTAATGTTAAATCAATTGCTAATCAAATTCTCTTTATATTTAAGAAAAAATTTATTTCTTCTTAATAATATTTTATCTTATTATTATTTTATTTCATCCAAAACAAACTCTTATACATTGCATCTTTCTTTATCCATTAATAGTGTGACTGAAAGATTATAAACATTGAAAAACTTCTAAAAATCTAATGTAGTTTAAAAATGTTCTTTATCTAGAACGTTTCAGTTTAATTCTTTTCCATTAGTTAAAAATTTACATTTAAATATAAATAGTTAAAGTTACAAATGTAATTGCAGAATTTATGTTCTCTGTTCTTATTATTGTAATAGATGATTTTCTTTTCCTAAATGAAAATTTATTATTTTATTAATGAATGTTAAAATCATGAAATTGATCTTTAGATAAGTAGATTTTATTATTATTATTATTTACTAATTTAAAGTTTTTTTTTTTTTAATTAGGTTGTTGCCCATATGCAATCCATTGAATCTGAGCTTGAGAGAGAAAAACAAAAAAAATTAAAAGAGCAAAGAGGTATGAAATTACAAGTTAAAATTAAAACATTAAAAAGCAGATACATATTAATCTTTATAATAATCAAGATATGAAAAATTTTATATTTTTTAATTCAATATATGATATGCAAATTTTTTTTTATCTATTGATGTGCAAAGAACTTTGTACTTCATTAGATAAACTTTAACTGACAAACAAATGTATGTGAATAGTTTTGCTATTGCTAATGCTTTTCATGCTTTATTGTTGAAATTAGAAACTTTTTACTGGAATTTAATATATGATAACATAAATTTTATAAGTTCTCAAAGGAATTTAATGTGTAATATTTGGAAAAAATTAATTAAAATACATTTATCTTTATATTTTTAACAATTAATATGAAAAAATAATTTATAAATTATTTTTAATTAGAGAAAACTAATGTTTTTTAAATGAATAATTTGATGTGGAAAAATAGCAGTATAAACTAAATAAAACAATTTGTTTTTAAAACTTTATATAGGCCTATTAAGAATTTTATTATTTTAGTTACAATCATTTTATTGTATACATTCAAATGATATTCAAAATAAACTATTATCAGTTTTAATATTTTTTATTGTTCAGAAAATATATTTTTATATAAAAACAAACTTTTCATTTTTTTCCTTTTTTAAGGAATAAAAATAAAATACAATAAAAAAAGGATCATATTTGTAATTCAGTTCTCAGAGTTGCTGTTACATAGCATAAATTTCACCACATTATGATATTTTTATCATTATCAAATAAATCAACAACTTGCAATAAACAATACACTGCAAACTAACTGTCACAGTTAATTAATTTTTTTTATAATATAATTTTCATCAATTATTAAAATTTCTTCAAAAATCAAACTGAAAATGAAATTTGCATATTTATTCAATAATATTCAATGATGATTTAAATCATTTGCATATTTTTAAACCAACAACTGTGAATAGTAAATCTATACTTTTCCTACAGTTGTTGGTTTAAAATTATGCAATTGATTTTAATAATTACAATATATTATTTTTGGGCTAAACATATTTTTTTATAATTTAATAGATGGCACTTTTCAGAAAAAAATTTGTGAAAAGTAGGACAGACTAGAGACATTAAGCTTTTCAATCTGGTAACTTAATCATTTATCCATGCATACTCATTATGATTCATCTATAGAACTTGATATAATGCACATGGAAGAGTTTATACAATGATTTCTTATAAACTATTACTCATTGGCATGAGTTATGTTGTTAGATGTTAGTGGAGGGATGTATCAAAATTTATTGGAATTTCAGCAAAATTCAGGATTTCAAAGCTTGAATGTTCCCTTTTAAGTGGATTGCATTAATTATAATGCTTGTAGTACAAATTAATAATGCATATTGATATATCTGTTTAATAAGTGAAAACATCCACATTCTCAGCATAAGTCTAGTAATCATGGAAAAAGAAGCTAAGAAAAATTTGACTAAAAATAAATGAAAATAAAATTAAATATCTGAAATTATGTAGAAAATTAGTTTGGAATGGCATCATTTGAACTAAATTATGATATGATAGATTAGAATCAAATTTATGACATACAGTAGAGCGTCGATTATCCGAAAGTCAATCATTCGAAACATCAATCATCTGAAAGAATTCCAGTCGGCAAATTTAAATTTTCGCCAGTGCTGTGGTGCTGCAGTCTTTGGCTATGTCTTGGGCTACTCAAATATTTTACGTTTTTGATACTAAATTAACTTCTGAAGTATAATTTTTTATTGTTTTTATATTTTTCAATATATTTATTTTGTTCGTACAAAATAAAAAAATAATTTTTAACGATACAGTAGTCTTCGTTAGGCTTAACATCGATGATAATTCAACATGAAGCGACACGCAACGGAGAAAAATGCCAAGATGGGATAAATTAATTAATATATTTTTTCGTACATAATCGGTTATCTGAAACATCAATCTTCCGAACAACCCCAGTCCCCAATTGATTCGGATAATCGACGCTCTACTGTAGTTACCAGTTTTAAACAACTGAAAAGCATTCTAAATGAATATAATAGTTACTGAAGAAATTCATTTGTGGCTATGTAATAGCAGAGCCAAGTACTCTGCATTAAGATACTAGCTTCAAAACAATATTTAGCAGTCTTAAAATTAAAATATACAGAATAATAATACTGTTGATTGCAATGAACAGATGTGAAACTTGATCTCTCTCCAAACACTTGGAAACAAAAGCTTTGAAAATAAAATTCTGAGAAGGGTCTTTCCTCAAAAATGGATGATATTATAGCAGATTAAAAAATTTTTAAAACTCAGAAATACTGAAAATATTAGGAAAAAATAGAATTATGTAACATTAACATCAGCAGGACATGCAGTTTATGCTGGTAGTAATGGATATGTTAAACAGAAATTATTTAATAATAATAATAATAATAATAGTGGCTAGGAGGCAGATGATATATTGTTCGTGAGTGGAAAGATGATATTAAAAAGGATGTTGAAATGACAGGCATATAAAAAGGGGATGAGAGAAAGAACCAGTCAAGATCCTCAAAGCTTAGGCACTATGTATTAGTAGCAGTAGTAGTAATTTATTATGTGATGATTGATTTACATTATACAGATTTTAATTTCTATAATAATAATATCGATAATAATTAATTATAATATTTAAGAGTATGAAGAAAAAATAGTAGTATTATTTCAATTAAAATTTCTTTAGCTTTTAATATTTTTTAGAGAGAGAAGCTGCATTGAAAGCAGAAGAACAAAGAGCATTAGAAGAAGCACGAAAAATAAAAAAAGCAGAAAGAGAAAAAAGAAAGGCAGAATTAAGAGAGCAAAGATTAAGACAACAGCAACAAGAAAAAGAGCAAAACAATGAAAAAGAAGATACTTCAGAAAAAGAAGGTTAGTATTTCTATATTTAATTATTATTAGTATTAATAGTAGTATTAGTAGTAGTAAAAGATGAAGTATTCTTACAAAAAATTTATTGTAAATAATGAACTTATATTAATGGCCATTTTGAATCTGAAATTAGTCAGTCAAGTACAAAAATATAAAAATTTGTCAAGATCTAAGAAACAAAAGAACAGTTTTCCCAAGAAAAAAAAAATTTATATTGCTCATTGATGTCACATAATCATGAATTTCTACATCAACAGAAATTTATTTTTCTAATAAACAAAACTTAAGTATACCAAACAATTATTGTTATTGTCATATTAAAGTAATTGACATTATTATTATTTGTATGACAATGCATTTTCTCATTTTTCACTAATAATATGTTTAAATGTTTTCAATAGAAACCTCTATATATATAGAACATCTTTTCCATTTTTCCAATTTTTCACTATCCAAAACTCATATTTAACTATTTGAAAAAAATTGAAAGACTATAGATTTTCATTGAAGTTTATGACAATGGTTGCATTAAGTTAATTTTTTCAATTTTAAACATTGGACTTTTTATATATTTTGAATATATATATGAATTTTTCATTTATCAAGATGCATTTATTATTTAATTTTGACAGCTAGGTAATATATTTAAAATATTGACACATTAAAGCATTATTTGGAAAAGTTCATTTTCACTTGACTGAATCAAATAGTAATGGTTATTATGGATAATTTTTATATATATTTTAAAACATATTAAATGTAATATATTAATAATTAAATACGAAGATTTTGAAATTTCTTTGTTAAATTCTGGTTGTATTGCTTAAAATATGTATTTAGAAACTACAATTATCTTTTCCTGAATTGTGTAGATGGCAAAAACAGTAGAAAAAATCTGATTCAATTAAACACAGAATGCATTATTATTTTTTAAATATTTAAAAGTTAATAGTATTGTATATTAATTATAACTGGTAATTAATATACAGGTATACCTCAAGTTACATCGTTCTCGATTATACATCGTTTGTCAAAAAATATATGGAAAAATAAAAATCAAGTTTAAATCATTTTATTTGACTTTACGTCCGTTCGCCACAAATATTGAAGTCATAATATCACTAGAAAAGCGTTAAAGCACATAAAATCATATTAAAATATGTACATTTACAGTAAATTTTAATATAATCATCATAAATCCCAGAGAACAAACATAAAAACATCTGTGTTTTTGTGTTGTTGTCTTATTTAGCGGTCTTTAAGTGCTCAATATTGGTGTTTTCTATGGTAGCTCCAATATCTACCATTTAGCGCCAGCACCACTCGATATTGGTAAATTTAATATAAATTAGTTTATTCTCTACTGTCGCAAGATAATTTTAATAAATGTATTTGTTATTAACCTTACAAAATCATCATATTTTATAATGTCTTAGAGCAAACCATATGTACAAATAGAGTCCGTGATGTACTGTAAACATCACCAAATTGTAAACATGTACATTTACAGCCAAGTATGTACTGTACGTACATGAATTTGTAAATTTAGATTACTTTTTTCTGTACTATATTAAAAACTAAAATTTATTTGTTTGTAAGTTTAAAATAGATTCTTATTAGCCATATATCATATATTATTAACAATGGATTTATCAATAAAATACAGAACTGGGAATGGTATTTGTGGTTTTCCTAGTGACAAGTAAATTCAACTTACGTTGTTTTTCGACTTAAGTCGCCTTTCCTGGAAACAATTATTGACGTAAAGTGAGGTATACCTGTATTAACAAATTAGTAAAATTTTATTATTTATAAAAAAAAAATAAATTTTTTATATATTGAAGTCTTATTTTCATTTGTAAATGTTGAGAATCAAATCCAAATGTAAGATAAATTAATTATTAAAATATTATTTTTATTGGAATTAATGATTAAAAGAATTAGCTTGAATTGACTATCCAGAGTACAAATTTTTAAAAGAAAATAATAAATCAATACATGAAACATACTATGTAAATAACCTTATCAAATAATACAAATGTGAGCAAATTATCTGTACTTCATTTTAATGTATATTTAAAATTCTTAATTTGCTGAATCAGAAAGAAAAAACAAGTTTTTTAATTTATAATAATCTTTCAAAAACATTATATATCATTTGAATACCATCAGAAACAGAAATATATCTAAAATAAATAAAAATTGCAATAAACATTGTACATTAAACAGGAAATACATGCTAAATGGCCAAGACAGTTAAGGTGTCAGCTTACTACTATGGGGACCTGGGATCAAATCTGGGTGAACAACTCTTCTGGACTTTTATGGGCAGTCTGTCCTGAATATGTTGGACTCAATCCTTTACCATTCAGCTGCTTCGTTGTGGGCCTGGTTGAACCCATGATGGATATGGAAGAATCTCTCTTAGTGCCCATAGGGCAGGAAGAAACAATGGAAAAAAAAATCTATTTTTTCCATTTTAGAACATATGAGCATAAATTATCTTATATTTCACAAAAGTTTTAGGTTTTAATTTTTATAAACCTTTTTTAAATCAGAATTTTACTGTTTGAATTGTAAACTGAATTCCTTTTACACTTTGCAAACACATTTTAGTTCATTTTTATAATATACAAGATTTTATGGAACTTTGCATTAATATAGTATTTTCTGTATTAATGCTTCTTATTTTTTAGGCATTATTTGATAGGCAATAATAATAATTGTAAATTTTATTTTTTTACATTTTTTTAATACTGACAATAAAACATTTTCCTAAAAATATTAAATAAAAGATTTTCTACAAGTTTTTATGAATTTATAATTACAAAACATTGTATTTTTTGTCAGCAATGTTATCAATGGTTGTATTGTAACTGAGTTTCTCATTTTACTATTCCATTTTAATTGAATCTCTTTGTAATTTTGTTTAAGTATTTATATATACGTGTGTATGTATAATTAAAATTAGAAATAAAAATGTAAATTTTTAATATTATCTTATTTTTAACAGGTGCAGAATTAAATGGTATTATATATAATCAACAAGCAAATAAGAAATCAGGTAAAAATGCATACATGGTTGTTTAAAATCACAATAGATAAATTAGTTTTATAGCAATAAACATAATTATTATTACAATAATAAGTTGTTATTCAAATTCTCTTATTGAAATTACTATTAAGTTTAAATTATAGCAGATTTTTAAACTATGAATAGTTTCCATTACTTTCATATATTAATTGTAAAACTTGTGAATGTATGCTTTCATTTATATCAAAAAGTTATGCACCCAGATAAAATTGTTCAATTACTGCAAAATTTGACATTCAGCTTTGTCTTAGACAGATATGCAAATGATTGGGCTGCAATTTGAAAAATATTATATACTTATAAATTTCCACTGTCATTCGTCTGTCCATCACCCATTTCTTAACCTTGAGAATGGAGTTAGATACATGAAAATCAAGATCAAATGTGGAAATATTAGAAGCAGGAGGCCTCGATTAACTATATAAGAACTTCCAGTTTGCATCAGATGTCACATTATTTCAATTCAAAAATTTTCCCCTGAAAGGATTTATATAGATGACTGGCACAACTTTATTTTTAAAGAAAAAGTATGATGTACAGGGGCAAGTCACTACTAATTTGAGGTGGATAGCATATATTTCAAATTAAAAAAATAAAAATTATGATTAAAAATTGTAGCCTGACATTGTGAGGATGTTACAATAAATGATAGCTCATTACAGTTGTGATCTGATTACATGCCATATAATATCACCAGAATGTCCTAAAATTGCTATCCCAGTACTCTATAAAATATTTTCAGTGTAGTATTTGTTATTTGGAAGGCTTCAAATGATAGGCATGTCTGTACAAAGTCAGTCAATACAGACAACTGATGGAGTTCAAGAAAGACCACATCATTTGACTGAGGAAAGCAGGATGACTGTTTTGCTGAATTTCCCACATCTGGGCATCAGGTAATCTGACTATGAGTTGGTGTTGGGGCAATGGCTATGTATGTGATTGTGCACACACATGGTGGGCAGGCTCTGGACATACCAGGCAGACCAAGAAATGTGATCAGATGATTGTCTTTTCTGGTTTATCATTTAGAGCTGTCATCTCTGGTCCATAATTCAAAGACAGTCAGAAGCATTGATACAGAACCATGTCTTTTTTATCATTGGCAGATAACTAGCAGAAGCAGATTTATATGCACAACTGCTACACATCCTTCTGTTAGCACTCCAACATCATCAGCTTTGTTTGCAATAGTGCCTTAACAGAGAGGCATGCTCATTATGGACTATTTGTTGCTAAAGACATGTTGCCTTTAGCAACAAATCTTGGTTCTGTTTGGGAATGGAAGATAATCCACATTCTACCATATGGTAAAATGTGGAGAACCAGTAGTGACTTAATCTCATTTTTATGTGAGGGCAGTGTACCATTAATCTCATGAATGGTACACTGCCCTCACTGCTAATATACTGGTTTGCATAGCCATTTAGTATGACAATCAATTATTACTAATAGTGATACAAATGATTTTGACAGCATAGCAATAATGCTGTGCTATCAAAGTCTTTTAGGAAACTCTACATTTTTATGCCTTGCTCTTTGTGATAGGGCTGCAAATAGTCATTTTTCAGTAAGAATTTACATGGCTACACATCTAGAGTTTTGCAGGAATGTCTGTCATGTTGCCACACTTGCTTGGTTTATTTGATCTCCAGATTTGTTGTTTGAGCATTTGTGAGACTAGATGGGTTACCAGTTGTCTACAAGTGTGAGGAATCTGCAATCTCTGTGGACAGATTCATCACAGGATAACATATGGTACTTTTTGTGCCTCCATGTATGACTGTGTCATCACATACATTCAGACAAGATGAGGTTCTACAAGATATTAAAAATTCCTTTAAATTGTATGGTTGTTTTACAGGAAATTGTTCCTTTGCTTTGATATTACAGTCATTTATTAACATCATCATTATGTTTGCAGTAATAAAGTTTCATTTGATTTCACTGTCTCCTTTTTGGGGCATAACTCTTTTCAATGAATGTATAAATATGAAACACAAACTTCTAAAATTTTAAAATAGCTTAAATAAAATATTTATGTGAAGAGTAATCACATAGTAGCACTCCATAAACAGTAATATCAAATTTACTTTCCTTACAAAAGAGGCAGAGTTGATTATCTTTTATGATAAGTATATTTGATTTATATCGAGAGTAAACTATTTGAGATAAAACTGCAATATAATAATTTTCAGATAATAGTTTATTTATAAAAGTATACACTGTTAAAAAGTCAAAACACAATATATTAAATTATCAGAAATGAAATTTAAAATTTTATAAGGAGAAAATATTGATTTTTAATAGAATTTGCAATAAGTTCTGATAANGTCGGCAAATTTAAATTTTCGCCAGTGCTGTGGCGCTGCAATCTTTGGCTATGTCTTGGGCTACTCAAATATTTTACGTTTTTGATACTAAATTAACTTCTGAAGTATAATTTTTATTGTTTTTATATTTTTCAATATATTTATTTTGTTCGTACAAAATAAAAAAATAATTTTTAACGATACAGTAGTCTTCGTTAGGCTTAACATCGATGATAATTCAACATGAAGCGACACGCAACGGAGAAAAATGCCAAGATGGGATAAATTAATTAATATATTTTTTCGTACATAATCGGTTATCTGAAACATCAATCTTCCGAACAACCCCAGTCCCCAATTGATTCGGATAATCGACGCTCTACTGTAGTTACCAGTTTTAAACAACTGAAAAGCATTCTAAATGAATATAATAGTTACTGAAGAAATTCATTTGTGGCTATGTAATAGCAGAGCCAAGTACTCTGCATTAAGATACTAGCTTCAAAACAATATTTAGCAGTCTTAAAATTAAAATATACAGAATAATAATACTGTTGATTGCAATGAACAGATGTGAAACTTGATCTCTCTCCAAACACTTGGAAACAAAAGCTTTGAAAATAAAATTCTGAGAAGGGTCTTTCCTCAAAAATGGATGATATTATAGCAGATTAAAAAATTTTTAAAACTCAGAAATACTGAAAATATTAGGAAAAAATAGAATTATGTAACATTAACATCAGCAGGACATGCAGTTTATGCTGGTAGTAATGGATATGTTAAACAGAAATTATTTAATAATAATAATAATAATAGTGGCTAGGAGGCAGATGATATATTGTTCGTGAGTGGAAAGATGATATTAAAAAGGATGTTGAAATGACAGGCATATAAAAAGGGGATGAGAGAAAGAACCAGTCAAGATCCTCAAAGCTTAGGCACTATGTATTAGTAGCAGTAGTAGTAATTTATTATGTGATGATTGATTTACATTATACAGATTTTAATTTCTATAATAATAATATCGATAATAATTAATTATAATATTTAAGAGTATGAAGAAAAAATAGTAGTATTATTTCAATTAAAATTTCTTTAGCTTTTAATATTTTTTAGAGAGAGAAGCTGCATTGAAAGCAGAAGAACAAAGAGCATTAGAAGAAGCACGAAAAATAAAAAAAGCAGAAAGAGAAAAAAGAAAGGCAGAATTAAGAGAGCAAAGATTAAGACAACAGCAACAAGAAAAAGAGCAAAACAATGAAAAAGAAGATACTTCAGAAAAAGAAGGTTAGTATTTCTATATTTAATTATTATTAGTATTAATAGTAGTATTAGTAGTAGTAAAAGATGAAGTATTCTTACAAAAAATTTATTGTAAATAATGAACTTATATTAATGGCCATTTTGAATCTGAAATTAGTCAGTCAAGTACAAAAATATAAAAATTTGTCAAGATCTAAGAAACAAAAGAACAGTTTTCCCAAGAAAAAAAAATTTATATTGCTCATTGATGTCACATAATCATGAATTTCTACATCAACAGAAATTTATTTTTCTAATAAACAAAACTTAAGTATACCAAACAATTATTGTTATTGTCATATTAAAGTAATTGACATTATTATTATTTGTATGACAATGCATTTTCTCATTTTTCACTAATAATATGTTTAAATGTTTTCAATAGAAACCTCTATATATATAGAACATCTTTTCCATTTTTCCAATTTTTCACTATCCAAAACTCATATTTAACTATTTGAAAAAAATTGAAAGACTATAGATTTTCATTGAAGTTTATGACAATGGTTGCATTAAGTTAATTTTTTCAATTTTAAACATTGGACTTTTTATATATTTTGAATATAAGAAAAACAACTTAAATTTATTTATTTATTTTATATCTTACACTTTATAGCAATACAAAATAAATAGTAGGCTTTTATATCTTAATGTTCTTATTAGCTAATAAAATTTCAAATTAGTAATAATTAAAATTTTCGAAATGATAAGTCATAAATGATATTTATCCTCTTCATTTATTATGCATAATTCAATATAAAACCTGTAACAATTATATATAAAATATAAAATAAATAGTTTGTATGTATCTATGAAGAAGGTATCTATTAAGTGCATGTGCATACACACACACACACTTAATAGATACCTTCTTCATAAAATAAAATTTGTGTGCATACACACACGAATTTTATTTCATTTCAAATTTCAATTAATACTTTAATAATTTGTTACATTAATCATTTTTGCAAATTTCTGATTAAATCATTATCGTATCATTAAAAAAACTGTATATAATCTTTAGAAATAACTGTAGATAACAAATTCATTCTATAAATGACTATGACAATAATTAATGCATTTAATTCACTTCTAAATACTTTAAATAAAAAGGTTTTAATATTAAAATTTTGGTTTAGATTTTTATTGGAATTAATAATTCCAATAAAAATCTAAATATTTCAAAATTACAGTAAAATAATTTAAAAAAAATTAATTTCAACCTAATGTTACTAAAATTACAAATATTAAATTTCATTAAAATTAATTTAAATAAGTGTATTTGATTTGAAATTATTAATATAACTCAATAAATTTACTTCTCTATCCTTTCTTTCTTGTTCTAACTTTCTTTTTTCATATTCTAAACGTTTTCTTTCTTCATCCACTCTTCTCTTCTCTTCTTCCTAAAATTAAATTTTAAAAATATAATTAATTAATGTATTAAATTTCATAAAATTTACAGCTGAATAATAAAATTATTATAACTACATTAAAAATATTTCTATCTAACATTCTCTTTCTTAGTATAATGGATTTCAAATTGAATCCCTATTTCTTTTTAATTTTGTGAATGATATCTCATTTATTGAATTTGTATTTAAATGAAATGATCTTTCAATTTGATAAAATAATAATTATTATGAAATTTAAATACTATAATAATAAAATCGAATTCTTAAAATATAATTATAAGAAAGCANATTGATACAGAACCATGTCTTTTTTATCATTGGCAGATAACTAGCAGAAGCAGATTTATATGCACAACTGCTACACATCCTTCTGTTAGCACTCCAACAATAAATTAATTATTAAAATATTATTTTTATTGGAATTAATGATTAAAAGAATTAGGTTGAATTGACTATCCAGAGTACAAATTTTTAAAAGAAAATAATAAATCAATACATGAAACATACTATGTAAATAACCTTATCAAATAATACAAATGTGAGCAAATTATCTGTACTTCATTTTAATGTATATTTAAAATTCTTAATTTGCTGAATCAGAAAGAAAAAACAAGTTTTTTAATTTATAATAATCTTTCAAAAACATTATATATCATTTGAATACCATCAGAAACAGAAATATATCTAAAATAAATAAAAATTGCAATAAACATTGTACATTAAACAGGAAATACATGCTAAATGGCCAAGACAGTTAAGGTGTCAGCTTACTACTATGGGGACCTGGGATCAAATCTGGGTGAACAACTCTTCTGGACTTTTATGGGCAGTCTGTCCTGAATATGTTGGACTCAATCCTTTACCATTCAGCTGCTTCGTTGTGGGCCTGGTTGAACCCATGATGGATATGGAAGAATCTCTCTTAGTGCCCATAGGGCAGGAAGAAACAATGGAAAAAAAAATCTATTTTTTCCATTTTAGAACATATGAGCATAAATTATCTTATATTTCACAAAAGTTTTAGGTTTTAATTTTTATAAACCTTTTTTAAATCAGAATTTTACTGTTTGAATTGTAAACTGAATTCCTTTTACACTTTGCAAACACATTTTAGTTCATTTTTATAATATACAAGATTTTATGGAACTTTGCATTAATATAGTATTTTCTGTATTAATGCTTCTTATTTTTTAGGCATTATTTGATAGGCAATAATAATAATTGTAAATTTTATTTTTTTACATTTTTTTAATACTGACAATAAAACATTTTCCTAAAAATATTAAATAAAAGATTTTCTACAAGTTTTTATGAATTTATAATTACAAAACATTGTATTTTTTGTCAGCAATGTTATCAATGGTTGTATTGTAACTGAGTTTCTCATTTTACTATTCCATTTTAATTGAATCTCTTTGTAATTTTGTTTAAGTATTTATATATACGTGTGTATGTATAATTAAAATTAGAAATAAAAATGTAAATTTTTAATATTATCTTATTTTTAACAGGTGCAGAATTAAATGGTATTATATATAATCAACAAGCAAATAAGAAATCAGGTAAAAATGCATACATGGTTGTTTAAAATCACAATAGATAAATTAGTTTTATAGCAATAAACATAATTATTATTACAATAATAAGTTGTTATTCAAATTCTCTTATTGAAATTACTATTAAGTTTAAATTATAGCAGATTTTTAAACTATGAATAGTTTCCATTACTTTCATATATTAATTGTAAAACTTGTGAATGTATGCTTTCATTTATATCAAAAAGTTATGCACCCAGATAAAATTGTTCAATTACTGCAAAATTTGACATTCAGCTTTGTCTTAGACAGATATGCAAATGATTGGGCTGCAATTTGAAAAATATTATATACTTATAAATTTCCACTGTCATTCGTCTGTCCATCACCCATTTCTTAACCTTGAGAATGGAGTTAGATACATGAAAATCAAGATCAAATGTGGAAATATTAGAAGCAGGAGGCCTCGATTAACTATATAAGAACTTCCAGTTTGCATCAGATGTCACATTATTTCAATTCAAAAATTTTCCCCTGAAAGGATTTATATAGATGACTGGCACAACTTTATTTTTAAAGAAAAAGTATGATGTACAGGGGCAAGTCACTACTAATTTGAGGTGGATAGCATATATTTCAAATTAAAAAAATAAAAATTATGATTAAAAATTGTAGCCTGACATTGTGAGGATGTTACAATAAATGATAGCTCATTACAGTTGTGATCTGATTACATGCCATATAATATCACCAGAATGTCCTAAAATTGCTATCCCAGTACTCTATAAAATATTTTCAGTGTAGTATTTGTTATTTGGAAGGCTTCAAATGATAGGCATGTCTGTACAAAGTCAGTCAATACAGACAACTGATGGAGTTCAAGAAAGACCACATCATTTGACTGAGGAAAGCAGGATGACTGTTTTGCTGAATTTCCCACATCTGGGCATCAGGTAATCTGACTATGAGTTGGTGTTGGGGCAATGGCTATGTATGTGATTGTGCACACACATGGTGGGCAGGCTCTGGACATACCAGGCAGACCAAGAAATGTGATCAGATGATTGTCTTTTCTGGTTTACCATTTAGAGCTGTCATCTCTGGTCCATAATTCAAAGACAGTCAGAAGCATTGATACAGAACCATGTCTTTTTTATCATTGGCAGATAACTAGCAGAAGCAGATTTATATGCACAACTGCTACACATCCTTCTGTTAGCACTCCAACATCATCAGCTTTGTTTGCAATAGTGCCTTAACAGAGAGGCATGCTCATTATGGACTATTTGTTGCTAAAGACATGTTGCCTTTAGCAACAAATCTTGGTTCTGTTTGGGAATGGAAGATAATCCACATTCTACCATATGGTAAAATGTGGAGAACCAGTAGTGACTTAATCTCATTTTTATGTGAGGGCAGTGTACCATTAATCTCATGAATGGTACACTGCCCTCACTGCTAATATACTGGTTTGCATAGCCATTTAGTATGACAATCAATTATTACTAATAGTGATACAAATGATTTTGACAGCATAGCAATAATGCTGTGCTATCAAAGTCTTTTAGGAAACTCTACATTTTTATGCCTTGCTCTTTGTGATAGGGCTGCAAATAGTCATTTTTCAGTAAGAATTTACATGGCTACACATCTAGAGTTTTGCAGGAATGTCTGTCATGTTGCCACACTTGCTTGGTTTATTTGATCTCCAGATTTGTTGTTTGAGCATTTGTGAGACTAGATGGGTTACCAGTTGTCTACAAGTGTGAGGAATCTGCAATCTCTGTGGACAGATTCATCACAGGATAACATATGGTACTTTTTGTGCCTCCATGTATGACTGTGTCATCACATACATTCAGACAAGATGAGGTTCTACAAGATATTAAAAATTCCTTTAAATTGTATGGTTGTTTTACAGGAAATTGTTCCTTTGCTTTGATATTACAGTCATTTATTAACATCATCATTATGTTTGCAGTAATAAAGTTTCATTTGATTTCACTGTCTCCTTTTTGGGGCATAACTCTTTTCAATGAATGTATAAATATGAAACACAAACTTCTAAAATTTTAAAATAGCTTAAATAAAATATTTATGTGAAGAGTAATCACATAGTAGCACTCCATAAACAGTAATATCAAATTTACTTTCCTTACAAAAGAGGCAGAGTTGATTATCTTTTATGATAAGTATATTTGATTTATATCGAGAGTAAACTATTTGAGATAAAACTGCAATATAATAATTTTCAGATAATAGTTTATTTATAAAAGTATACACTGTTAAAAAGTCAAAACACAATATATTAAATTATCAGAAATGAAATTTAAAATTTTATAAGGAGAAAATATTGATTTTTAATAGAATTTGCAATAAGTTCTGATAACATTTTTACAAAATTGATGATATTTTTTAAAATTGAACAAAACTTGTATTTTTTTTCTAGTTCAAAACACATTGCAACAATTTAATTTATGAAATTTTTAGATGAACACAGTGTAGCTTTTTTCTGAGAGGAACAAAATAAGAGGTGTTTAAAATTGCAATATAAAAATTACATTAAAGACAAAATTTCATCTCATATTTAACAGTTTAGCATCATACAACATTTATAACATTACTAATTTTATCATCAATGTATTAAATTATGATGGTTATTTTTGTTGTAAGAATTATAACTAACTCTTATCTAATCTTTATTTATATTACAGGACGTGTAATTCAATTGTGATCTGACAGTTTTCTAAAAATTAGATGTTTTATATTTATTTATTAACTCTTGTCATTTTTATTGTTTTTTCTTTGGTAACATAAAAGTGATAACATACACTATGTTTATAAATAAAATAAAATGACAAATAAACACTGTTTGTAGGTGTTAATTTAATGATATATATACATGTAAAAATAAAAATTAATAAGCATCACACATACTGAAAAGTCCTTGCAATATTTATTACTATTTTTGTATTTGCTTACCATTAAATTAACATCTACAGACAGTCTTTAATTGCTTTCATTAGTTTCAATTTTGTTTTAATTTTACATAAAACTTTAATTTCAAAATATTTAAGTATTTATTTTGTAAGTATTTATTTACCAAAATTAAATATTTATTTGGTAAGTATTTATTTACCAAAATTAATATTAAATATTAATATTAATTTTGGTATTCCTTCTTTCTGCAAATTTATTAATCTTAATGATAGTTTTAATTTTTGATTTTGTTTAAAACATAACAATTTTCAATTATTATCCTTGAAAAAAAAGAATTGTGTGTTTATCTAAATTATTAGATTTTAAGTTAATATTTATAATATTTCAAGATTTTTAATTGTTTATTACTAAATATTAAAGTAGAATTGTAGTTATAATTTTGTCATTAAACTAATTTTAAAAACTAGTAAATCTTTTTATACCATTAAATAATTTTAAAAATTTTCAGGTTCTTGGATATCTTGTTTTATGACACTGATTCTCATACCATTGGCTGTAGTTGGTGCAATAGTTGGGTACCATGTGTACATTGGAAATAAAGTGGAAAGTTATGATGACGTTTTTCATATATTAGAAGATACATGGAAAATAATAAATAAACAGACATTGATAATGATTGATGTTATTAAATTACACATGTTAGAAAGCAAAAATGTGATATTGACTTGGACTGAGGAAGTAATTTCTTCTTTTTATAAAGATACATGAATAAAAAATATTTACTTTAATTCTTTAAAATAATGATATTTTTTTAAATAAATACTGACTACAAATTTGTTATAAATGGGTAAAATTGTTAAATTTTTATTTTGTAATACTTATGGTGTTTTTTCTATTATATTTATTCATTGGAAATTCCTTTAAAAATAATGAGAAATCAACAATTGGTATAATACTGTCTATTATTAGAATTCTATACCAATTGTTTTTTAGTACTATTCAAAAGTCAGATTTAAGCAAAATTATAGTAAAAGAATAAATATCTCTTAAATATATTATCTTATACTATAATTCTTAATAATGTTTCAAATAACTGAAACCTTAATAACTATAAACTAAAAACATGAAATAGATAGAAAAGTTTGATGATAATGATTTGATAAAATAGGATATTTTATAATTAATTAATTATATCACATCTTTTCAAATATATGTATAAAAATAAGTTATTCGTAACACAATAATAACTTTCGAATAACAATACAAAATCCAAAAATTAATAATAGAGAGGTTGCAGCCAATGTTTTCAATGCAAAAACGTGTAAGTTGGACATTCAGCACCACCTTCCTGTATGCCTAGAAGTTTGACAATGGCATTTGGAACGTCAGTGGAATCATGCTCAATGTTCCAAATGCCATTGTCAAACTTACAGGCTTACGGGAAGGCAGCGCTGACCATCTGATGTACTGTACATGTTTTCCTATTGAAAACTTTACCCGCAACCTCTCTATTATATATTTATAAAATTAATGTGTAAAAGGAAAACTAATTTATAATTTGAATTATTATTAACAAAAAATTAGCTAATGAATTTATTAAATACAATTAAGCTTTTCTTATTAGAAGGTAACTCAAAAAGATATTTCTTTGTCTAGATAATTTTTTTCTTCAAGAAAAATTTTATGAAAGATTTAAGAATTATATTTAAGCCTGATTAATGCATATTTTATTTATAAATGTTTGGTTCTAAAATACATCATTATAACAACATTTCCAAAAAACAGTAGTTTTCCACTATTACAAAAACATGTTTACTAGATGATGTATAAAGAAAAGGCATCTCAGCTTATAAAAATGTGCAATTAGTGAGCCAATAAATAATAAATAAATTAGTGTAATCTTTATTGTGTGTAGTATTTTTTGCATTATAGGTATCTTATTTTACAACATTCTATTATTTGACATCTTATTAAAGAATTATTTCTTAAAGCCAAACAATTACTGAATTATATCAGGATACATTACTAATACTGTTATTAATTAAATGCTAAATAATTGGTATTAGAGGCAGACATTAGGTGCCATCTTTTGCTAAATTTAATTAAATTTCTATTTAAAATTTAATAAGTTTACAATCACTTGATTGAAAACAGAACAATGCCTATATCAGTTTATAGCATTTTTCCAGATAAAACCTACTATTCGAGCATAATTTCAACACAATTGCTCAAAGGAACTGTATGAAGGTTACAGTGAAATGTTCACCCATTGTTGTCATAGAATTTTTTCTATTTTATATTTCATTATTTTCATAAAAAATAATGAAAAACCATCAACATAAGAGATAAAAAGATTGTGTTGTTAAGATGTTAAGTTGTTATAAAGCAAATTATGTCATTTTAATACGATATTGATGTAATTATTTAATAATTATAGAGATTTTTATAATAGACTAAATTAGTAAGTAAATGTTATCATTGTTTAGTTTATTATTTCATATTAACATATTTTGATGGAAAATGGATAAGAAGACCAGGTAATATTCAAATTTCTTATACAGTAATACCCCGAACTTACAGCCTTTACTGATAGGTGGGACCAAGCATAAGTTGGGGTATAATTTCTCATATAAATACATACAAATTATTTTTAATTGGGTCTGGAGACTAAAGAAAACAATAATTTATAAAAAAATGTTTCCAAAAGTCTTTAACAGAGAGCTTGTTGTTTTGTCTCATAGCTTCATGCAGATGTGCAAACGATCATCTCATGTAATAAGCTTTGAATGTTTTGATGACTCCCTGATCCATCGGTTGAAACAAGCTGGTTGTATTTGGTGGCAAAAATACAACTTTCACACGTGGGTCAAAATTAGTTAAAGTTGCAGGGGGGTGACTTGATGCGTTGTCGATTATTAGCATCACTTTAAATGGAATTTGTTTAGATTGGCAATAACGTTCAACTTCAGGTATGAAGTGATGACCAAACCAGTCCTGAAAAAGGAAAGCTGCCACCCAAGCTTTACGATTCAACTTCCAAATCACAGGCAAGCCAGCTTTTGATTTATTTTTCAATTCTCTTGAATTTTCTGAGCAATAAACTAAGAGAGGTTTTAACTTCAATCACCAGCTGCATTCGCACCAACCATCACTGTCAATCGATCTTTGGCAGCCTTAAAACCTGGAAAGGTTTTCTCTTCACGCATGATAAAAGTTCTTTTAGGCATCTTCTTCCAGAACAGGCCAGTCTTATCTATGTTGAATATAGTTTGGCTGGAGTAGCCACCTTCATCTATCAAAGCTTTGAATTTCTCTGGATAGTAAGACGCAGCCTCTTTATCAGCACTTGCCACCTCTCCACTTTCTGCAATGCTATGCCAATTACAGCGACTTTTGAATTGGCTGAACCAACCGTTACTAGCTTTAAACTCTTCATCTTTAGCCACTTCTCCAGCATCCTCTTTCAATCTCTCAAAAACCAGCTTAGCTTGAGAGCACACTGTGTTCTGATCAACAGGACAATTTTTCACATTTACTTGATTAACACACTATAATTTTAACAGTTTCCATCTCAGTGATAATGCCGTGATGTTTACGAATGATGCTTAATTTAAAGATTGAGCATTTTTCACAGCTTCGAGAATATTTTCTTTACCTTTTATAATTGTTCTGACCGTCGATTCCGGTAGATCAAATTTCTTTGCCAATTCACAAATTTTCATTTTTGTATTGAAGTCTTTAATAATACTGTTAACTTTACATTCCAAAGATAAAGTTTTTCTTTTCTTGTTTGATGCATAAGAATCTACTTCATCTGGATGACATATAGAGTCTCTCAAGTCTCTGTAGATATAACAAACACAGAAATAAATAACACAAAATAAATTGTAGCTATACATCAATTCCGCGCGACATGTCCAAACATCTAAGCTGAACAATAGTGTGGGGGAATGAGTAATCAAGAGTTGCGTAGCGCTCAAACAAAAGATGAATCTATGAGATTTGAAAATCACATAACTTTGGGTTCACGTAAGTTGAGGTATTACTGTAATTAAAAGTGAATAGAAACAGATGTTTAATTTACAAATTTTTGTATTATAAAGAGCTTACATAGAACAAATTTTACATTTTTGAAGTGAGGAATGCCTGTATTTTAATTTTTGAATTCTATATTGTGTTTAGCAAAAATTTTATATAACTTTCAATCAACTTCACTCTATTCCAGTATCTTGACAAATGTTAGGTTAAGATCAATTATTTGTGAATTTAAACATTCATGTTTTATTTATTTTTTAAAAATTGAAAAATAAATGGTATGTTTTTCATTTAGAATATTTTAAATTTAGAATGAGATTTTTATTTTTACAGAATCATTAAATTTTTTTTTAACTTTTTCTACCCAGTGGTTACCAAGATAGCTTTTTTTGGGTTGGGCTGATTGGATGATGAGGGTCAGGCCTGAAATATTTAGAAGAGAGAGCACCCATGAAAAATTCCTGATGTTTTTTGCCTGCTAGATTAGATTCTGGGTCCCCAGAATTGCAGGCTGACACTTTTACTGCCTCAGTCATACATCTATCATAACATTGAATTAAGAAATCATCATCAGAGGTAAAAAAAAATATATTGTAGTATATTGATATGAAAGTAGTGGGAAAACGTGACACATAAATAAACATTCTTATGAGCAACAAAAGGTTTATTTAATAAGAATACAATTGTCATTGTTAGCAGCAATTCTTTCCTGTTGATTTATCTTGTATATGCTTGCTTTTTGATATTTCTTGTTATAAGTGAAATTATTCAGAAAATGAAACAGATGAATATTTTATGGTTGCTTTTTTAGCTGTAGCACTGTACAGTGGATGACTTATGATCTCCTATGCCCAGCTTCTGCAGTTTCTGTATTGCCACACACAAGTTGTTATTTTGGTAGAAAACAAACCTTTTTTGTTGGCAGTGCTAATTTGTTTTCCTTTGTACAACATTTAAGTGGTCCACCTACTTACAGTAGATATCCATGCTGATAATTTGCATCTTGTTTAGCAACTTGTAACTGGACAATATCTCTGCAGTAACAACAGAATATCATTTGATGTGTTGATTTGCAAGTGTAATTTTTCCATAATTTTGGCTACTTTCCCTTCTTTCATATCATGATCTTTTATGAGTAATATCTTAAATCATTTATTTTTTATCTTCTGTAATTATTGTATTTAGAAAATTGTTGATCTTTTATTATGCAGCAATGAAGCACATGCAATATATTCTGTTGTATTAACTGATGTCCAAACTAGATATCTTCATTCCACATGTTACCCAGCTTTTACAAGTACTTAATAATAGATGACTAATCTGTGTGTGGAAATTATGTCATTTTCTGAGTTATCCTTTGTGGATTTTAATTCCAGCAACATTCTCAAATAGTCATCATTCAGTTTCATAAATGGGCCATTAAAGTCAACAAAATTTAATTCTTGATTTAGTGAACGTCCCTTCAATCCGAAAAATCATTCCGGTAGACTACTTCACAGCCAATTATAAACTCCTTTTAGCAAGTAGTGCCTTTTTTTTACAATACACGATACAAGCCCTTTGAGTAATTTTATAAGGTAGTAAAAATATTGTAAACGGGACTAAAAGTACCATATAAGTGTGAAAATTAGATCATATGAAACTCATGGAAACTCTTAAGGTATTATGAAATGTGTTTTTTAATTTTGTTGTAACATTAGCTACTCACATTGTTTTTATCAATTTTTATAATTAAAATTTATTTTGTAGCACTGAGGAGGAGCTAGTAAATTAACCTAGCTCAAAATTCATCTGTAAAAAACAATAAAAGGAGTTTATAACCTGAATTGGCTTTGAGGTAGTCTACCAGAAAGATTTTTCAGATTGAAGAGACGTTCACTAAATCAACATATAAAACAGCTAAACCATCGGAAAATTCACAAAATTTAATTCATCTGATTGAAATTTCTCATATCTTTATTAATAGTATTTTTTTTAATATGATTTTATTTTCATAAGCTTTCAATAGTTCATGCACACATTTTTGAGAAATGATGCCATTTTTGTAACTGTACAGCAATATTGTATGAATGTACACTTCTGTTGCCATTTTGTTAATGATTGTTGGATCTTATTAAATGTAGCTGTAGACATGCTGCCTCTATACTTACAAGTTAGCAGATTGTGCTTGTGCTTTCATTTGTATGGCTTTCAGAAATATGTTTTACATTTTCTAACCATGAAAAATGAGTGAATTTATAATTTTTTCAGTATTTTTGTATCAGTTTAATAAATAATAAAACTACTACATTAGTTGATCAACAACAGAATCAATGTTTGTATAAGTAAATTTTTATACACATACTTGAAAACATAATAGAAAAAATGATAGAAATAGATAATAGAAAAACATAATAGTATTATTCCATGTACATAGTGATTTCTACTGAATATTAATGATCAAATTAAACATTGTGAAAGATCAGATATACATGGATCAATAAAACTGAAATCTGTGAAATTACAATTTGAAAATTATCATATCTAACAATACATAGTAGTATCAGAAATAAATTGAATTTGTATTATTAACATAATAAAAATTACATTCAAAATATTTACAGGAGTCCATCTTTGAAATAAACAGCTTCTGCAGTTATGCACTTCTGCTAGCATCTATACCATTTGAAAAATATTTGCAAAAAATTTGAAAATGCAGTATTGTAGCCATTTTTTGCATTTTTTATAGTATCTTTTAAAGGTTTTGGTTGCTATAGTTATCATTGTCAGTTCTGGTCATCAAATATCTGATTGAGAGGGCATAATACAGTTCTCATTAATCCATAATTATGCCTCCACAGGCTTTTATCTGTTACCTAAAAAGAAGTTGAAGGGATAGAAATTTCAATAAGGAGCAAATTGCAGTAAGAAAACTATTAAAAGACATATAAAAAAATGACTTCCAGGACTTCTTTGACGAATGGTAAAGATTCTGGCAGAAGTGTGTTGGTGCAGAAGGAGCTTATTTTTAAGGTAGTGTGGTGTAAGAATTTGTCTGTTGTATAATAAAACTTGTGCTAAAAGTTTCTTATTTTTGACTCTACTACATACAAGTAATTACACTAAATAACATGTTTAAATATATGCAATTGTATAAATTTATATTCAAAAAAGTAGTAATCTTGCAGAAGTTAAATTATATCATTGTATAAAGCAGCTTTCTATGAAAATTTAATGTGTTTGCCATTGAATACACACAACAATATTTGTATTTGTGTTAAACATTCTGCAATTAGTGATGATTAATTTTGGAAGTGACTATTTATATTATAATATAGGATTTATTTAAATTATTAAACATGTTAAGTTTTTCCCAACTTAATCTCACAGGAGAAAGTTTAGTTTATTAAATCTGCAGATTTTAGAGATCGGAAATTTTCTTTAGCTAATCTATTATTTGGGAATGTTCTCATTTGCAATGAGATGACCTATCATAATGATAAATGTATTGTCTTAAAATAGTTAGGCATTAGTCATAACTCTGGTATATAACTTTTTAGAAACTTAATTACATAAAAACAAATATAATTTGTTTTAGACATTGATAATTTTCTAAAATTATCAAAAATTCAAACAGAAAAAAATTTATTTTTTGTATATTATATGATTCTGTAGTTAAAACAATAGTTTTACTGCATGTAGTTAACCAGAATAATTGATTTAGGCATGCCACATTGCTTTTTATTTTTACAAATTTTCTGTGTTGTGACTAAAATTATTTTTGGAAATGAGCTAAAATAAACATAAATAACTAATCATGATACTGATTTAACTGTGCCAATGTACAAATTTCAATTAAGTTCTCTTTTAAACATCGATAGAAAATATTTTTATAAAAATTAACTTCTGAAATATTTTCATAAATAGTTTATTTTCATTGATACAATTTTAACATTGCAAAGACATTGAAATTTAACAACTGTTTTCTAAAAGAATGAAATTAATCTTAGAAATATATTTTGTATCTATAGAATAATTGCATTTAAACTGTATAGATCAAACTTAAATTAAATAATTTAAATTTAAATAAGGAAATGCTCTAAAATATAAATCATTTATATTTGATTACAGTTTAATGGCAAGTATTCTATGCTTTCTGTGTGTAATTTATGTTTAATTTTATTGTTTCTCAAGATAATTTTGTTTTAGTTTAAAAGTTTATTAATTATTATGAAAATAAAATTGACTTTTTAAGTAGAGTCCCAAGTAAGTATATAAATACAGTAGAGTTCCATTTAACTGAGATTCTGCATTATCTGGAAAGAATACTTTATCAATAGAGACAAGAGAATATAGTACAGCTCATTTTGTTTTATGAATGTTGGATGTGTGATCTACAGTTCTTGAAACAGTTCTAGAAATTTAGAAAGAAATTTTAATTAAATTCTTGCATTTTATCAATTGATATGAACCAACCATTGCATGTTATATGAGTTTTTCATTATCAGAGGTATTCTTGATTGATTAATTGAGACACTTCTGTATTATAAATGTTAGTTGTGCCATATAAAACATTACATCCAAAAGTACTTTTAAAATTTTCACATATTTTCATATCAACTAATATTGACTGATTAACTTTCATAGTAGATAAAATTTGATTTAAAAAACATAATGTAAAAAATTATTATTTTTAATATTAACTTTCTGCATCTCTATAATAGTAATTACAATTTACAATAAGCATTTACCAAGTAAATTTCAGGAAACACTTTTAACTTTAATAAAATATTAATTCTATATTCAAGAGAACTATTAGTAGACAGAATATACATTGGAAATTATTCATTTTTATATTGTGAATAAAATCATATATTTATTTAAATATAATTAATAATTATCTTAAGTTTGGATTATATTTTAATCTAATTAAATATTAAATAATTTATATATTGACTTTTGAATAGTATCATTTATAAAGCTTTATGTGCATTTGTTATTTTATAAATTACTTTCTTATTATGTAAGATAATTACAAGTAAAATTATACTAAAAATAAATACTATTAATTTATTCTTTTTATTTTTTTTTAAGAATTTAATTAAATACAGATAAAATTTAAAAAATTGACTTAAATAATAACCCAATAGATAATTAAAACTGAATATTTTAATTAAGAGACAATTGTTTTTCGGCTTTTAATTGGTCAATTATAATATCAATTTTAATAAATAACAATGTATTTTATTGAAGTGTTTTTATTTACATTTGTAATGAAAATATGCTGAGCTGTTTAATTACATTCCTTTAGAATTATTTAATGATTGTAAAATTCTAAAAATAATGGATGACGATTAAGAAATTTTGTTAATTTTATTGCTCTGTACTGTATACCTTTACTGATTTTTCTTTGTCACTTGTCATATTTTATTTGTATTTTTCTTAATAACTTTGCATTTGAAAATTTTATATATTTTGCTACTTTTCTTCTGGTAATATTTGTCACTTACCAGAATCATATTGCTAATGCATATTGTAAAACTTTAAATTTGTAAATTTATTAAGTTAAAAAAAAAAATAAGATATATTTTATAAATATATCTCATCGTATATTTGCATCTGTCTAATTTTTTAATATTAAAAAATTTTTTGGATGAAGACTGAATTCTTTATTTATTTTTTTTGTTGTTTATAGTTATTTGTTGCCAAGTTTTGAACTTTTTTAATAATAATAAATGATATTTTTTGGCAGATTTTTCAGATTTCAAACATTAAAAGTTTCTGAAAGCAATCTGAAATATTAAAAGTATTTTTATTCTTAGACGTTTTCGTGTTGTTGCACTGGTTTTAGGTCGTTGACTTAAGCAGAAATCTAGTTTTAAAGTTGCGGATGTTTGAAACTCTTAATAATAAAATGATTGCTCGCTCTTTAATATTTTCCTTAAAAATCATAATTAAATTCTTTTTTAACGATTGGAGTGAAAATGCTGGATTTATTTACGTCCAGTTGACGAGTTTAAAATTGGTTTTTTTAAGGTGAGATTTTTCTTGTGTTATTATAAAAATTGTTATAACTAACCGACAGATGTCGACACTCGGTTTCTGTGGCAGCATCCAGATCGATCCGTGCCTACAAATAGCGAGTAGCCTGACAGTAGTCACCTCCATCTGGCATAGAGCCAAGCGGTCTGCTAACGTCTGAGTAAAAATGATCGAGAAGAACGCTACCAAGTGTCACAAACAGAAAAGCTAAAGATGGAAGAACTACTGGAGAGATAATTGTAAGGAAAAATTCGGAGCCACCGAGCAGGATGTCCGCATCCGCAGCAAATGGTGGAGTGGGAGATAATTCCCATTTTCCAGCAGTGATCGAGCTAAATGTCGGTGGGGTTTTTTACACAACGTCACTGGCAACGTTGACTAAAGAACCGAATTCTCTGCTAGCCCAAATGTTCGGAAGCAAAGGAAGACAGGGAGTGATGAAGGATTCGAAAGGTAAATACTTCATCGACAGAGATGGGGTATTGTTCCGCTACGTATTGGACTATTTACGAAATCAGAAAATGATCCTACCCGAGAATTTTCACGAAAGAGATCGACTGAGAAACGAAGCGGAATACTTCAACCTTCCAGAAATGGCCGCTGGTGTGGAAATGGTTCCAGCATCCAGGCTGTCTCACCAGAGCCAATCGGTGGTAGGTCAACCAGGTTACGTAACAGTAGGCTACAGAGGGACGTTCGCCTTCGGCAGAGACGGTCTGGCCGATGTCAAATTTAGAAAACTGACCCGCATCCTTGTGGCTGGGAAAGTGACAATATGCCGTGAAGTCTTTGGCGAGACGTTAAACGAGAGTAGAGATCCCGATCGTGGCACCGAAGATCGTTACACGGCGCGTTTCTTTCTTAAGCACAATTCGTTAGAACAGGCATTCGATTGTTTACAAGAGGCCGGTTTCAGATGTTTAACCGCAGCTGGTTCCGGTACTGCTTCCGGTGGTGTGGGAGAACCTATGAAACCCGGAATGGATTCCGAAGAAAATCGCTGGAACCACTACAACGAGTTTGTCTTCGCCAGACCTTAGAACCTCGGAAATCAGATGTAGCGTCGAGGGACCATCGAAATTTTGCTTTTGTCTTTCGAGGAGACGGAAAATAAAAGGTAGAATCCCGTGTTTCCGTGTTTACGCGGTGAGTCCTTTCTCCCCCTTAAAAAAGCCCGTTCTGGACAACCGGGCGACAACATTTTTGTCGTTTAATGTCGTGGTGTTGGGTAAATTTTCGTCTGATGTGCCTAAAAATGTTTTTGTTAGTCATAAATCGATGTTTTAGTATCGAACTGTCGGTGTTACTGACAATTGTCACCGCCATTGTCTAAGTAACGCACACGCCTATCTAGAGAAGCTGCCAAACCCAGGATTAAATTTAGAAAGAAGGCATTTTTCGATTCCCCCTTCCTTTAAAATGTGTTTCCTACTTTATTCTCCGAATAGGAAAGTTGCAATAGATAAAATTAAATTGTGCCACTCGAAAAAAAGGAGGAAGCTCTAAAGTACATTGTTCTCGAATCGAAACTATCCAATTACTAACTGTCAGGGTGTGGTTGCTGACCGTTTTCTGTCGCTATACCGAAGATTAAAATTAACTTCATTCTCTAAATTTGATGATATTTGCTTTCGATTTTATTTATTTATTGAATTTCGACATTTTTTTTTTACTTTTAATCTTTAAATATTTATACATAAACACAATCCGTACGGAAGAAGAACGAATCTGAAAGCAAGCAAAAGTATTAAAGAATAAAATATATTTTCGATCTCATGAAATATTTAAGGCCGTATAAAATAGGAAAAGTCTCAGTTTTTCTGTTAGAAAATGGAAATATAACATTACATTTCTTTCTAAAATATTTACAGTTCGTTGATGTCGCCAATTAACTTCCGTGTAAACAGCACGTAAACATAACAGGTAAAGAAGTGGAGGAGGAAATTATTTTGTGTTTATTAAACCACTAAAATTTATTACTGGTCAACTTAAACAGTAATTCTCTAGAGAGTCGACAATCGAATAGCTTCCACTCTTTAATTTTATTAAAAGAAATTACTAGTTTGTTCTTCCTAAATAAGAAAAGAGATGAGAGAGAAAGCTGTCTTGTATCGAAATTAATTTTTTTTTCTCTCTTTTTTTTAAATAAAATAGGATAAAAATCTTACTTATCTAAAATGTAATCGTGATTTTTTTTAATTGTTTAGCTTCTCTTAAAAAATTAATTAAGGTTTAATCTAAAAAACAAGCTTAATCCTTTAAGAACAGTACTTGAAAAGTTGATTCCCTTTCACGAAAAATGCCTTCTTTCGTGTAATCAGATTTAGTATATTTCTTTTTGATTGCACTAGTTCATAATTTTAATGAAATTTCGAAAGAAAGCCCAAAAAATGCACCTAGAAATTAGTCGAATCGAATTTAAAAAAGAAAAAAAAAATTGCACTTCAATGATAATTTATCCCCGGGCAGAAAAGCAAAAATTGTCTTTTTAAATCTGTTGTTTCTCGTATTGAATATGTGTGGATAAAACAAAAAAAAAAAATCATAATAATCATCTAAATATTCTACGTTGCTTATTATAGTAAATAGCTTGTATTTATGAAGTAGTATTAGCTCGTCTAACGCGGGATTTCATCTATACATGTGTAAAAAAAAAATATATATATATATATAACTAAAAAAATAATAATGATAATAAAAATTGGCAACTGTATATTGTTGTGGGCCCCCCTTCATCGTGCAATTCTCTTTAAATATATCGTGTATCCTCTAAGAAGGACCATTTAATCTCGGTTTACTTAAAAGAAAAAGAAATATACTCGATTGGTATGTACAGTTTTAACTTAAAATTTTATTTATATTATTATTATTATTTCTTTCTTTCGATAACATAAAAATAAAATAAAATTGGCACGAGATCGACATATTTTTCTTTGGTAATCTGCTCATAGATCCTTCTTGGGTACGATTGAAGAGAATTCTTATAGAAAATTGCAGATATTTTTCTCTAGGTGTTTGTATATAAAAATATAAT